GTTGATCACAACGGAACAGGAAATTCTAAAAATCGCACTGTGTCGCAGCTCCTGAAACACCCGTGCAGCTGGCTGGAAAGGCCCCGAGGCCGCCGCGTCCATCCCCATGTCCGGGAGGAAGGAGCTGCGCCCGGGGCCCAGTGCGGGCTTCCCCTGGTGTCCCCGCCTGAGGACAAGGTCTCCCTCCGCTGTCCGGCCCCGGCGGCAGCAGCAGGCAGACGTGCGGCCTGGTCTGGGTCCCCCTGTCTGGGTCAGGCTGGCAGCAGCACAAAGTCGTCATTGACGTCGACCATGGGCACGTAGAAGGACGGCACCTCATTCACGCACAGGGACTTGTGCCCGGCGGGGTCCAGCTCCTGCACCTTCAGCTGCCACTCCATCCTCTGCACCGCGTTCAGGGCCGCCGCCTCGTGCTGCTGCCGCATCAGGAGGCACGTCTGTGTGGGAAACGCACAGGTGAGGGGCAGGGGCTGGGACCCCAGCGCGCCCGCACCCGCGTCCCTCTGGGAGGACGGGCACTAGGACGGCCTCTCACACCAGGGCCTCACCCCGGCTACACGGGGGTCTGGCTGTCACTGCTCTGTGCCCCCCCACCCCCCGGGTTTCACTATAGCATCTAATCAGAATGTGCAAGAGCTTTTCTGTTTTTGTTTCACAATCATGTCTGGCTGCTGATACTGGTTTCAGTTATGTCTGGCACTTACAGTAGAAACTTTGCCTTTTAGAAGTGCCATTTTTAGAAAGAGTTACCCAGGGTTTAGTTTTACAGTGTTTAATACTCCTGGGTTTATTAAGTTGGTCCTAAGAGTGAACAGTCACATATTTCATTTTAGGCAAGTGGCAGGTAGAGACTGAAACCACCACCACCAGGATGACGTGCCCAGGCCGGCAGGTGGGGCCCGAGGCGGGTGGGATAGCACAGCAGGCAGACGGACACAGTGCGACGCGGCCACAGCGAATCACTTTCTTGGACAGGCACAGAAGTATTTAGGTAGGACATCATCATCTCTAATTTGGCTCAAAATAATTCGGTTTAAAAAACACACACACGTGTGGGGATAAACAGCTCCTCCAGCTTGTTCTGAACAGGCCACGTGCGCCTGGCAGGGAAGCCGTGTCCCCACTCTCTCAGCAGCACGTGCCAGCCGGGTCTGACGCCCGGGGCGGACTCGGAGGCTGACAGAACAGCAGCCCAGGCGCCCTCGGCAGTGTTCACTCCGGCCCGGTCGGGGTGCCCAGCCTCCCTCTACTCACTGTTCCTGGGCTTCTAGGGTTCCATTTTACTGGACTGTGGTCCCTGAGTTTTAAACAACTGGAATGAAACCGCTGGGCTACAGTACTGAAATAGGAGACGCCTCCATTCACCCTTCAGAACCAGCAAACGACGCTGGCTGTAGGGCTGCAGGGACTGGGGGCAGGCAGTCTGTCGTCTGAGGAGCCTCACGGTGACCGTGTGCTTGGGAAACAAGTGGTCACTGGAGCGTGGTGTCCTCGAGGTCTGGTCGTCCGTGTCTGGGCGCACTCCTCACACCACGAATCTAGCCTCCTGTCCACACTTTTCCTTCCTAGTTTAACTTCTTTGCATGTTAAGGAAATTAGACTGTGGCATTATTAATGCACCAAACTGAATTTTAATTCTCTTTTTTAAAGAAAAGAAAAGAAACAGCTCCCCTCAAGCCGGCTGGTGGGCGGAAGGGAGCTCTGCACCACCACTGGGGCTCGTCAGACGCCGTGGTGGCTGGGGCCCTGCTCTGGGCCTGTGCCCACCGTCGGGGGCACTGAGGTAGGGCACGCGGAGCCTGGGCCTTGCCTCGTGGGGGTTCCAGGGGTGCTGGCTTCGGGGTGGGAATTTTGTAGCTGGTGCTACTGCTGTGGTTCTTGGAGGTGACCCCATGTGCGGCCCTCACGGCTGCACAAGCTCTGGTTTCGCACTTGCTAAGCTACCCCCCCGCCTGCTGCACTGGCCCGCGCGTCAGAGCGGCGGTGGTGGGCGGGTGCTGTGACCTTTGAGGAGGGCTCAAGGTGGGGTCCCACAGAGGCCTGACCGCCAGCTGGTGACAGGAGCTGCTCCCCGCACACCTGGACAGGAGGGAAGACACTCTGAGAGGGAACACGGGGGTGGAGCGGCCTGGGCGGGGCTCCGAGCGCGGCCAAAGCCATCTCCTGTGGACACGGCTGCCCGGCGCCCCCCGCCGCGGCCCCGGGACTGACCTTCATGCGCTCGTACTTGTCGTCCACGTCTTGCAGCCACGAGATGAACTGGCGGGCGTTGAAGCGGTCCCGCACCGACTTGTTCTCGTCGCCCTGGAAGGACAGCAGGCCCCGTGTGGGCATCTGGAAGGCGCGGCAAGGCCCGCCCGCCTTGAAAGGGTGCAGATTCCAGAATCCACACAGTGTGCCCAGTACTGACCGGCAGGGCCCTCCCTCCCGCTCTGCAGACTTGGGAGGGCAGTGAGGCCGCCTTGCCGCCATGATCCGCACGTGCACAGCCGCCGTGGCTGAGACGGACCGACGGGGCAACCTTGGGAGGGCAAGGACAGTGCCGGCCCCTGGGCGTCAGGGTGGCCATCAGGCCAAGGACGGCATGTGAAGGTCTCTGTCACCAAAGCCATGCAGGACCACCGCCTAGGGGCTGAGCCCAGGCCCCACGACAAGCGTAGTGGAGGCAAGAGACCACAGCCTGGACCCCTCTCCCCTTGACATTCAGAAGGAGCCCAGGCAGTCCCTTCAAGGTGAGCAGATTCCTTTCCTTTTGGATACAAAAGGCGAGACTTCCACCCGATCCCTACAATAACCATCGTGAACAGACGTTTCTGCTGAGAGAGACGTGTCCCTGTGCACAGCACGTTACACGGGGAAACTTTAGAGATAGAGCCTTTAAAGTCTTACATGAATGGGAAATCCTTAACGCACTGAAGTTTTTAACCACCGAACCACGTTACCCTGTGGCCAGCCCAGGAGTGCTGCTCAGAAACCGAGATCCACGTGCCCCCCTACCCACCATGTGCCTGTGCTCACAAGAAGGCATCTGTCAGGAGGGGACTGGGCACCGAAGCCGGAGCACTGAGTGGGGCAGAAGGCGGGCCCAGAAGGACACATCCTGGGCTGTTTCCAAAAAGCCACAGTGGTTGCCGGCAAAAAGCCGATCCGGGTGGCCGGGGACACAAGAGTCCGCTCTCTGCGCGAGTTACCTCTCAGGCTCGACCAAGGACTTGGCGGGGGGGGGGGCTTCAAGGCCCAGGTAAACAAGCCCAGCCCAAGGGGAGGCGGCTCAAGGCAAACCGTGCGTCTGGGCCAGTGGGCAGCACCCAGCCAGCCCAGGGCTGTGGCCCTCACTGAGGAAGTGCTTGGTGCCGCTCACCCACAGCGTACGTGTTCGAGAGGAAAACCCGCCACTGCCGAGAGGGACCGACACGGAGGAGGCGCTGCTGCCGTCCTGGCCCTGGGCACACCACGTGAGCAGTCTGGGGCAGCACCGACCTGGCTCTCCAGAGGCATGTTGTAGACCTCCGAGTCCAGCAGCATGGTGCAGGCGCTGAACGGCACCGCCTGGTTCGCGATGGTCCTCGCCGCCCGGCAGTGAACCCGCAGGATCTCCTGTTCGCAGGAGACGATGAGCTTCTCCTGGAGGAGAGGGACAGGTGAGCGGGGCCCACGCGTGCCTGAGCCCGCCCAGCCACGCCCTCTTACCCGCTCGATGCTGTGCTGCAGCCGCAGCTTCCCCCGCACGGCCTCCTGCTGCCTGAACAGCTCCTTCAGGGGCTCCGCCAGGGAGGGGGGCGGTGCAATCTGCGGTCAGAGGGAGACGGAGGGTCAGCGGCCCACTCGCGGGAGTCGGCCCTGCAGACACACAGCCCATGAAACACAACGTGCCAGGCCACTGGCGTGCACCCCGCGGACGTGAGGTGGGGAGGGCGGGCAGGAAGGGCGCTGCGGAGGTGGGGATGCAGAGAAGGGAGTGTGTACCGCCCTCTGGTCTCAGCAGGCGCCACGCGCCCCCAGGTCAGCCGTCAACCCCCTGGGACGCAGGCGCCAAGAGGCAGACAGGATGAGCCCGATGGTCTCCTGGGGAGGGGGAGCAGGGAGGGAGAAGGCTCGCCTGGGTCACTTTGGAAAAGACGTGAGGCCAGAGAGCAGATGCCCCCCGGGATGCCGGAGGCCACCCTCCAACCAGCCACGGCGCTTCTCCCAGGAGGCAGTGCTTCTGAAACGCAGTCCACACCTGCGTCTTAATAGCACAAGTTGAGCCAGAACATCCCGTGGGGCCAGGAAGTGAGTGTTTGGAAAAGATGGGCCACCCAGGAGCCCCTGCCAGCCAAGGCCACGTAGGTCACAGGCTAGTGCTTGTCCACAAGCACAAACTGGCAGCCCAGCGAAGACACCTCCCCCCACCGCCACAGTGAATGCAGCAGTGGCCCACGCTGTCTTCAAAGTCTTTGGTCTCAAATTAGTTCAAAATATGCAATTACTACCTCCTGTGAGGTCTCTTCTGCTCTAGCCCCTGTCCTCGATGGCCTGGCCCCAGGGCGACTTCCTTGCCTGATGCTGCACAGCGGCCTGTGGTGGGACCAGGCAGGCGGCAGCTCGTGTCTCCCTAGAGCATCCTGTCCAGGCTGGCCCCAGGTCTGAGTATTTTCAGGGAGCCACCCTTCCAGCTTCCTCTGGCTCCACCCTCTGGAGAGGGTGCCAAGGCCTTGGCCCTCAGGCTCGTTGGGGGGGGGGGGGGGGGGCTCGCCTCTGGCCTGCCCTCACCTAACAGCCTGAGTCTCAACTGTGCGGCAACAGAAAGAGGAACGGACCTCTCTTCTGAAGGCCGAGAGCCAGGGGAAGAGGAGCGAGTGGTAGGGGCAGGAAGAAGGTAGGGCTGTCTATGGCAGTCAAGGTGCCGTTTTCTTTCAGTCTCACTCTCTGAGACCCTGAATCTAATGCCTCTGTCTCCCTCCCCGGGCAGCTTGGGGTCAGGGCTGAGAGCAGGGACTGCGGCTGGTGACATCAGATAAGCTGCAACGTGCAGGTTGGCAGAGGGTGGTGGCCGGGGCAGCCACCCCTAGCACGAGCCCCTTGCCCCGCTGCTCAGCGCTGGTCCTTGTTCTGAAGATGCTGGATGCGGGTAGTGCACCAGTGCCTGGGGGAGCTGCCAGCAGGGAGCTGAGGTCTGATAGCAGCACACACGTGAGTGACAAGGCCCCTCTGGAGGCCCTGGGAACCGGCTTGTCCTGACCAGCACTGACAGCTGTGACTGAGGCCCATCCTGGGCCCAACGGGCGAACAGAAGGTGGGACAGGACGGTCAAGATAAAGTCCACTGCATGCGTGGGACACGTGGGGCTGGGGCAGCTCTGGCTCCTGCCGAGCAGAGGGGGGTTGAGGGCAGGCTCTGTTGGCCGCACACCCCTCTGCCTGCTGTATGGAAAAGAGACTCCCGTGGGCCAGGAGGAGGGGGTGGGGGGAGCCCAGATGTGGGTGCAACGAGGAGGAGGGTGGTGTGCACGGCAGGGCTTGGGTGTGTCACACGGGCAGACATGAAGGAGTCACCAGGGAAGGGGCATGTGAACAGACTGCTGAGAGGGGTGGGGGACGGACGAAGGCCAGGTCTCCCCGGGAGCAGCCTGGAAGCTCACCGAGGAAACAGCAGAGGCACCCTCAGGCCCAGCGGGAAGAGGGCCCGGGGGAGGCGGGCGGCCTGGGGGCAGACTCACCACAGGGATGTGCAGCTTGCTGAGCGGCTTGCCGTCCAGGAGGTAGGAGCCGGTGTAGGTGACGTACTCGGCGTAGCACTGGGGCGCCTGCGGGCTGATGTAGCAGAGGATCTTGCGCTTCTCCTCGATCTTCTTTCGGATCTGCAGGTACTCGAAGTACGGGTTGGCCCTGTCGCTGTGGTACGGCTCGATGGCGTCCAGCTTGATGGCATCCACGATGGCGGCCAGCGTCTGCTGGATGACCTCCCGCGTCTGCCGCGTGGATGTGTGCATCTGCTGCGTCAGCGGCTGGCTGGAGCGCTGGAAGCGGCGTTTGCGCGGGTGCTGGGCCTGGGGGTCGTCCTCCTCGGAGGCGCGGCCCTTGGCCCTGGGTGCAGGCGCCGGCTCCTTCTCGGCGGGCGGTGAACTCTGCTTGCTCTGGCTGGCCAGCATCTGCGCCCGGGTCCGGGTCATGCGCTGGGGGACCTCCTCCACTCTGGGTGCCTTTGGGGCTTCGGCGGTGGCTTTAGGTTCGGGTTCTGCAGCTTCAGGCTGGACGCTGCCCGGAGACCTCTCCAGCCCCACACTGTCCTGGGGGCCAGCCCCGTCGGCCACGTGTGGCTGTGCAGAGCCATCCTCGGGGGCGTCGGCCATGCCATGGGGGGTGGCCAAGGAGTCGTGGCCCTCGGCCTCCTCATCTCTGCTCCCCAGTGGACGTGGTTCCGAGGGGGCCGGCGTGGGCTCTGAGCTCAGGTCGGGGTCCTCGGGGGCCCTCCCCTGCAATGCGCCTGCCTCCACTGCAGCCTCCAGCAGGATGCCCGGCTTTGGCTCCTCCAGGGACCCCGGTTCGGGCTCTGTGGGGAGCCGGGTAGCTGCCGGATCAGGAGGCAGCACGAGCTGTTCCTCAGCGGCTGGCGCAGCAGCATCCCCACCAGGGAGGCCTGGGGGTGCCCCTGCAGGGGTATTTTCTGGAGGAACAAGAGGACTCTCTTCTACAGGCTCTGTTTCAACATCAGAAACATCCTTAGTCTGGAGGGGAAGCTCTGGCAGTGAGAAAGGCCCCAGGTCGAGGTCGTCCTCAGAGGCAGGGAAGGCACCGGGCCAGGGCGCCGGCTCCACCTGGCCGAGGGCAGAGAGGCTGTGACCGCTCTCCAGGAAGTTACTCTCCAGGGGGCCCAGCACCTCCACCTGAGCCCCGCTGGTCGCACACGCGGACTCGGGGGGGCCGTCGGGGGGCGCTTCTGGAAGGGACTTGCAGTTACTAAAGAAGGGTTCCAACCTGGAGGTGGGGGCGAAAGGGGGTGGCTCTTCCGAAGCAGAGATGGAGGCCGGGACTGCCGCCCCCGTGTCGTCTTTGACTTCGAGTCCTGGCTCAGTGACCGGCAGTGGGTAGGAGACGGGGGACACTGGGTAAGGGGGCTCTGGGTGTGGGGACTCCGGAAACCTCTGTGGAGACTTCAGCAGAAGGTCTGACCCCACGGGCCAGCTGACAGGGTTGTCGGGGGCGCTCCCGATTAGGCCGGAGGTGAGGCCCTGCTCCGCGGCAGCAGGGTGTGCCCACTCGACTGGCTCCTCCGTGATGACCGTGCTGAAGGGGCCCTCGTCCAGGGGCTCCAAGAAGCTGGGCTCCGGGGGGATGATGGCCGCAGTGGCCTGCTGGTCCTCCGTGGCGTCCAGGGGAATGCTGAGGTCCGGGGGGAGGGCCCCCTCCATGGACGGGGCCAAAAGCTCATCCCTGCGTGAAGAGGGGGACTTTGCTTGTAAACCAGAGAAGGCGCCCTCTGGGGAGGGGGTAACGTTGACCACAGCTGCAGGGGGACAGTGCAGGGTATCTGCTTTGGGGGAGAGAAGGCTGTAGTCGGGGGAATAATACCCAGGGGACAGGCAGCTGAATTTCTCGGCGGGTCCTGGGGGGCCCGGGGCCTTGTCTTCCAGGGGCTGCCCTGGGGAGTTGTAGCTGGATGAGGCGGGGACACTCTGCTGTCGGAACAGCTTGTCCCCGATGCTGAATTCCTCCTCGGGGGCCCTCCTGATGTCCACGGACACTGAGCGGTAGAGGCTTGTGCACAACGGCCTCGTGGGCGTCTGGCCTGGGGTTTCCGACACGCCGCTCGCAGCCACGGAGAACCTGTCAAAGAAGGAGGGCGAGCAGGCGCTGGCGGACGTGCTGGAGACGGGCTGGGGGTCCGCGCACTCGAACATGAGGTCAGAGTAGTCGTCAGCGCTGCAGGACGGGGTCCGGGGCGTGTGCATGGCCTCCTCGTAGCTGGGGCAGGACACCACCGAGGCGGGCGTGGGGACCCCGGTGGGCCGGCTGTGGTCGGGCCGGGGAGAAGCAGGCAGGACCTCCTTCATGTGGGGTCCCGCCAACCAGTCTCGGGGGTCCACGGCCGGGCCCGGGTGTGGCTTGTTCTCAGCGGCAGGCGCGGCAAGAGCCGGCTCCTTGAGCTTTCTGTCCTTCAGGGCAGGGTCTGGCCCCAGCGGCTTCTTGGGCGGGACGTCCAGACCCTTCCTGCGTGCGTCCTCAGCCGGCCGCAGCTTGTCCTTGAGCTTGGGGTCCGCGGGCCTGTGCCGCAGCTTCTCCATCTGCCGCATCCTCTCCTTGTGCCGCCTGTGCCGCTCCTCCACCTCCAGGTCCTTCTGGGACAGCATCCTCTCAAAGCTAGTCATCATCAGGTCGCCATCCCCCAGCAGCTTCTCCCGGGGCCTGGCATCCTTCCTGCCTGGGTCCCTGGAGGCGGGGGGCCTGTCGCCGCCGTTGCTGGTCCTCACGGGGTCGCCCTTCTCCCTCTCAGGGTTCTCCTTGAACTTCTCCTTCAGCTTGGTCTCACCGAGCTTGGCGCCCTCGTCCCGGGGCCGGTCCCTGTCCCGGGCGGCGGGCTTCGGCTCCTCCCGGTGGTGCCTGGGGAGCCCGTCCCGCCACCTCTCCCGGTGCTTTTCCCGCCTCCGCTTCTCCTTCAGGAGGCCGGCGGCGCTCGCCCCGAAGGGCCGCAGCTCCTTCTCCACCTTCTTGGCAGCGTCTCTCTCGGAGTCATTCTTCTCCTTCTTTTCGGCGGAGAGCAGCTCGACGGCTTTATCCACGTCATCCTCCGTGTCGGCCTTCGAGCCGTAGGAGGCGCCGTACGCGTCAGAGTCCAGAAAGTCCCGCTCGTACTGGCCGCCGTCGCCCCGCTCCTTCCGGTCGGGCTTGTCTCTCCGGGCCCTCTCTCGCTCGTGGCTCTTCTTGGAGGAGGACGAGGAGTGCCGGTGCCGCTCCCGCTCCCGGGCCCGCTCCTCCGGGGGCTCCGGAAAGGACGCGTCCAGGAGGGCGCCCAGCCCCGGGTCTGGCCCACGGTCGGTGAAGCTGTCGGAAGACACCTCGCTGGCCTTGTCGTTGGAGTCCTCCGGAACTCCTGCAGCGCCTCCTCCTCCAGCCGCTCCAGCAGGCTCTTCTCTGCGTCGGCACCCTTGGACGGCCTCCTGTCCGGCCCTGCTCTCGCT